CTAATCGTAGCTAAAGGATAGCTAATCGTAGCTAAAGGATAGCTAATCGTAGCTAAAGGATAGCTAATCGTAGCTAAAGGATAGTTCGTCGTAGCTAAAGGATAGTTAATTGTAGCTAAAGGATAGTTAATTGTAGCTAAAGAATAGTTAATTGTAGCTAAAGGATAGTTAATTGTAGCTAAAGGATAGATAATTGTAGCTAAAGGAAAGTTAATCGTAGCTAAAGGATAGTTAATCGTAGCTAAAGGATAGTTAATCGTAGCTAAAGGATAGTTAGTTGTAGCTAAAGGAAAGTTAATCGTAGCTAAAGGATAGTTAGTCGTAGCTAAAGGATAGTTAGTCGTAGCTAAAGGATAGTTAGTCGTAGCTAAAGGATAGTTAATCCTAGCTAAAGGAAAGTTGAACGTAGCTAAAGGAAAGTTAATCGTAGCTAAAGGAAAGTTAATCGTAGCTAAAGGGAAGTTAATCGTAGCTAAAGGAAAGTTAATTGTTGTTAAAGGAAAGTTAATTGTAGTTAAAGGAAAGTTAATCGTAGCTAAAGGATAGTTAAATGTAGCTAAAGGATAGTCGTAGCTAAAGGAAAGTTAATTGTAGCTAAAGGATAGTCGTAGCTAAAGGAAAGTTAATTGTAGCTAAAGGAAAGTTAATCCTAGCTAAAGGAAAGTTGTCCTGATGCATCTCTGTAATCCAGGTAAAAAATCAAAACGAAAAAAATTGTCTAGGTCTTCTGGACGGGTTCTTCTCTAATGAAACGTTTATTTGTTTATTTGTTCATTAGAGAAGAACCCGTCCAGAAGACCTAGACAAATTTTTTCGTTTCTAAAGGAAAGTTAATCGTAGCTAAAGGAAAGTTAATCGTAGCTAAAGGATAGTTAATCGTAGCTAAAGGATGGTTAAAAGTACAAAAGATTGCTAGACGTATGAAAAGTCTGGCTAAAATAAGCATATAAAGACAAAAATAGAGGAAATTTGCTGAAGCAGGTTAATTTTTTAATGAAACTGATGTCATCTCTGGTTTTCTATAAGGAAAGTATTTTGTAAAATAAAATACTTTGAAGTTACAGAAACCAGAACTCTCAGCTCTGCAGGTGTTGATCAGTCTCAGCTAACCACTCCAAAACTTTTCATATCCAGAAAACACTTTTACAACCATTTTTGTGTTTTTTGCTCTTGGTTGTTCTTGGCGGCCATCTTGAATCCGATTGACTCAATAACTTTATCAGTCATAGAAGTTCATCCAGTGTTTACTTCCTGAAAGTTTCATTAAAAAACATTAGGTGGTTCTGGAGATATTTTGCTAACAGACACAGATTTAAACATGTTTCCAGCACCAGAGGGCGCTGCAGCACAGGTGTTGAACCCGCTGCAGAATGCCACGTGCTCAGTCAGCTGTTAGATCAGCTTTGATTCATAAATTCAGATGTCATTTGTTTTTGTGGGTCACGAGGCAAAGCTGAGTTATTTAGGTGAAATATGACCATCAGTTTGTTTAGAACAAGGTCAAAAACTGGGAATTAACTTTCATCAAATTTAAACATAAACAGTTTTGTTTATACTAAATATTGTAAATAATTTAAAATACTTTTAAAATTATGAAATAAATAATCAGAACTCTGTAGTTTCACAGTGATGAGCACAAACAGAGCCTAAATAAACAGGATGGATTCATCTCTTCTTTGTTTACCTGCTCTGTTCGGACCACGTGTCTGCAATGCGGAACACGCATGCGCAGAAAAAACATCAATTTTTAGCACGCGTCACACGCGGCGGCGCGCTCAGCCAAAAACAACAAGCGTGCGCGCGAACACGAGTCCGTCCCCTGAATAATTGGCTGTTCAGATCAAGCCCCGCCCTCTTCTTGTCGCTGATTGGGCCTCTGTTTACCCTTCTTCGTTCTGATTGGACGCTATTCGTGGCTCAGGTTGTGTAGCTAGGCTGCTGCTGCTGCGTTCAGGGACCGCCCCGCGGAGCGGACATGACGGTTTTTAAAGAGGAAAAGTTGTTTTGGTAGAAAAAGTTACAAAGATATTAAACCTGAGATCAGTTTGGACCTTTTTAAAGCTGTGAGACGAGATGAGTCTTAAAACAGGACAGAAAGCTTATAAATAATTATTTAAATTAAACAATAATCATAAAAACATCACATTTAAGCAATGACTTGATATTTATTGAACAAAATCACATAAATTCAAACACGTTTATTATTTTTAAAAATCATCGTTGGCTCTATTCTCGGTGTCCAGTTTGTCCTGCAGCACCTGAAGGCAGCATCAGTCAGTAAAATCAGTGTTTTTGTTTCAGTCACTCCAGTGTCCTGCAGCACCTGAACGCAGCATCTCTTATAATAAACACAATTTTTCTCTCCTGCAGCTCCAGACAAACTTTCTGCTCTGAAACTCTCCGCTCGTGTTTTCTTTCATCTCCTGTCGGAACCACGCGGATTACATCACATTTAGATCCGTGCGCGTGCGTGTTTTCGTGCATTTACTCCGCCGCGCGCTGCAGATGATCCGGATTTCGGTGTAAATAATCTGGCTCTGCTGGGACGGCTCGGCTCGGCCTGGTCCAGACCTGACCCACCACCCTGCTCCTCCGGAACCAGCCGGCCCGGGATGAGCTCCCTCTGACGGAGGGGTCTCCGCTCCGTCCACGGACCGATCCACGCAGGGGTTCTGACCCGGAGGGGACGCTGGTGTCCGCGGGGACTCATGGAGGCGTGAAGGTCTCGGGTCTTCCAGCGGAGGAACCGGACCTTCTCTGCGGCTTGTTTTGGTTCCTGAAGGAGGGTCACGAGTCTTTGGGGTGAGTGACCTGCACGCGCTGCATCTTGTTTGTTTGTTTGTTTGTTTGTTTGTTTGTTTGTTTGTTTGTTTTACCAGGTTCTTGTTTCTGTGTCCGACTTTAAACTAAAATAAATTCAGATGTTTATTTGTTTTGTCATCAGTTCTGAAATGAACAGTTTACATTAAACGCAGCATTTCTTTGTAACGTGAAACTCGTGGTGCGTTCAGGGACCCCTGCAGCTGACGGTCTGCGGACCTCAGGTCGGGTCTGGATTATGGCGCCACGTGAGCAGGAGACAAAAACACAGAGAAACGTCAGATTTCATAACGTTCGCGCGCACGAGAGAGACGTGCACGCATCAAACGGAAGCTGCAGATGCTGCGTTTACGTGCTTCTCCGTCCTGCTGCAACACGCTGCGGGCTTCTATTTTTATTTTGTTTATTTATGAATAAATAAACAAAACTCAGAAGATAAACATCAATCTGTTGTTGTTGTTGTTGTTGTTGTTGTTGTTGTTGTTGTGGGCCAGGCGCGTGCTCGACGTCAGAGCTGCTGCAGCTTCTTCTGTTATGATGATGATGATGATGATGATGATGATGAAGAGCTGCAGCTTTTTGTTTCAGGACCTCAGTCTCACCGCAGAACCAAAACCTGAGAAATCACATTTTCTGACACAATTCAAAAGCTAAAAGAAGCAGAATGGTAGCTAAATGCTAACATTATCAGTATGCTAGCTAGAAACTGAAAACAGCTAAAAGACAAGCTAAAAACCTCAAACTCTAGAATCTAAAAGAAACAAACTGTTGGAAACTAAAAGTAGATAGCTAAAAGGTAAATGCAACAAACTACAAGCTAGCATTACAAGTAGCAAAATGCTAGCTAAAAGCATTCAAACCCAATATAGCAAAGGTAACAAAATTATAGCTAGTAGCTAAATGAAGAAAAATGCTGTAATTTTAGAAGCTAAAAGTAGAGGAATTTTGAAAAAAAAAAGGAAATGCACAGCTAGCTAAAAGCTTAATGTTAAGAACTAGCTAAATGCTAAAACTTTAGCTAAAAACAACCAAACCAAAGCTAGAAATTAAAGGTTATAAAACTGTAGCTAAATGGAGGAAAACACCTGAATGTTAGAAGCTAAAGGTAGATAATCTGTTTAAAAACTAAATAAATAGCTAGCTAAATGTAGCAAGTAGCTTTAGTACCAAAATGTTAGCTAAAAGCATCCAAACCTAAGCTAGAATGTAAAGATAACACATGCAAGCTAAAGATAGAAAACTTATCTAAAAGAAAATGAACAGTTATATAAATGTAGCACACAGCTAGCTAAAAGTAACAAACGGCTAACTAGATGTAGCACACAGCTAGCTAAAAGTAACAAACAGCTAACTAAATGTAGCACACAGCTAGCTAAAAGTAACAAATGGCTAACTAAATGTAGCACACAGCTAGCTAAAAGTAACAAACAGCTAACAAAATGTAGCACACAGCTAGCTAAAAGTAACAAACGGCTAACTAAATGTAGCACACAGCTAGCTAAAAGTAACAAATGGCTAACGAAATGTAGCACACAGCTAGCTAAAAGTAACAAACGGCTAATTGAATGTAGCACACAGCTAGCTAAAAGTAACAAACGGCTAACTAAATGTAGCACACAGCAAGCTAAAAGTAACAAACGGCTAACTAAATGTAGCACACAGCAAGCTAAAAGTAACAAATGGCTAACTAAATGACCCTAACCCTAACCTAACCACATCCGGGTGTCTGTCTGAGACCGCCCACCATCCGTGGTGCGTTCGTCTCGTGGGAAATTTGTTCTGTGCAAAATAATTTTTTATAGTGTAATTTTTATTTGTAAGATTTGTAAACAACCGTCTTAATTACAAGTTAAACTTATTTATACTTTTAATAGCTCGTCCCAGATAAGAAAAATCAAAGAAAAAATAAAAACGTATTAGCTGTTGTAAAAGCATCAAAACTTTAAAATTATCCTAATAAACAACAACAATGAACTCAACAATTAAACACTGGGATTAAACGGTGTAAATCGGATGCTTGGCAGACTTTTTAAGAATTTAATAATGATAATTTCGGTTGAAAAACATCCTGACTGGAACAAAAACAAAGAAAAAGCTGCTGTTCCTGTTTGTCCCAGTGGCTCCTGAAGGCACCGCGGCCTCTCATTGGCCGAGCCGGCCGTCAGTCATCGCGCTCTGACCCGCCCACCTGCTGACGTCCTCCTCTCCAAAGTAACGAGGCCAGTCCGCACAAAGACAACAAAAGCTCGTGCTGGAAAAATGAGAGCCGTCGGCACCAGGAGGACCCGAACATAAGTTCCACCGGACCGAGACGGATCCGCGCGTGGACCCGAACCCGGGAGGACGGCGGTCACGTCTGAACCCCAAAAACAAACAAACAAAAAAAAAAAAAAAAAAAAAAAAAAAAAAACAAAAGGTCTCCACCGAGCTGACCCAGGTGGTGAGTAGCTCCAACACCAGCCCGGTTCTGGTTCTGGTTCTGGTTCTGGTTCCATCAGAACCAAAACAAGCAACACGTCGCTGCGCTGTTTTTAGTTGTTGCAGGAAAACAAACAACAACAACAAATAATCTGGTTTAATGTAAAAACGCTTGACGGAGGAAATGTTTATTGTTTGTTTGTTGTTGTTTATTGTTTGTTGTTGTTGTTATTGTTTGTTCGCGTGACGAAGAGGAGAAGTCTTTTGTCTGAACTCCTTCCTGCTCTGAGCTGCTTCTTTGTTTCCTTCAGCTGCTCTCAGCTCGCTTATTTACCTTTGTTTACCTGCTTATATGACGTCATGTAAACAAAAACTAATTGTTTACCTCGGCTCTGATAAACAACACACAAATTAAATAAGAAATTATTCTCTTAATTTGTTTAATTTTAGTGTTTTTTCCTGTAAAAACAGATTAAATGTTAAATTATTGCAGATTAAAGTGAATAAAACAACAGATTAGATCAGATTATTGTTGTTGTTTACTTGTGTGACGTCAGACTGGGAGTTAAAACAGACTGATGATGATGATGATGCTGTGGTGTGACATTTATAAAGCTCGGTGCGCGTGCCTCCTGGTTTAAACTGGGCTAATTCAGAGAGGAGATTAAGTCCTGTTCATGCAGGGATTAAGGCCTCCAGCACCTGTTCAGATTACACAGCAGGGAGGGAAACATGGCCGCTCTTACCACCTGTGTGTGCACTTCCTGTCTGGGGAGGAAGCTCCTTTTGTTTTCTCCTCTTCCTGTTTCAGAACCGAAACCTTCGGCTGCTTCTGGGAAGCTGCAGAGTCTGGTTTCACTTTTTTTAGCTGCTGTTCAGAACAAGAGCTAAAAGTTTCAGAGTCGGTGTTGACGATGAGTCTCGGCTACTACCAAGCTAAAGTTTAGCTGTGAATCCGGCTGAGTTTTAGACAATGGTTGGATGATCGCTCACTGAAAATCCTCTTCAGGTTTTCAGGAGATATTTTGCTAACACACAGGCAAAATGAGCTGGACACTTTATTCGTATCTACCAGATTATTCGGCTGATGTGAAAAAAAAACTTTCTGTTTGTTTTTCATAGTTTCTGTTCATCGTAGCCGAAGACAAAAGGCTGCAATGTTTTTGTTTACGTCGTGTGTCCGTCTCAAGATGGCCGCCACAGATAAACCATCATTGAGCCGATCTGTCCGGCGGGTACCGAGCTAAACTTTGGTGTGGTAGTAGCCGAGGGTCGGTGTGTTTCAGCTGCTTGTTGCAGTTTGATGTGAACTCAGGTGAACTCCAGGTGGAACCTGATCCTTCAGCTCGCCTCACCTGAAACCAACAGCTGAATAAATTAATTTACACACTGAAAAAACAAGGACCTGAAGAAAAGCTGGTTTAAAATAAACAAGAAAACAGCTAAAATGTTGAAAACATGACTAAAACTCATCAAAAGTTAGCAGCTAGCAGAAGGCTAAAAGTGCTGAAACCCAAGAGCCAGAGGTTAAAACAGCTGAGGCTAGCTAAAAGAACACTTGCTAAAATCTACATAAGTTAACCAAAAATAGAAAAACCTAGCTAAAAGCTAAATGTTGCAAATGGCCTGTTAAAAGATAAAAGTAGCTAAAGCAGCTAAAGGCAGGCTAAAGGTATTAGAACACTAGCTAAGAGCAGCACACGTTAGCCAGAAATGGCAAAAACCTAGCAAACAGCTAGATGTAGCAGTTAGTGAAAAGCTGAAAGAAGAAGAAACCTAGCTAAAAGCTAAATGTTGCAACTAGCTTGCTAAAATTAGCAGGACACAAGCTAAAAGCAGCATCAAAAGTTAACTAAAAACAACGAAAGCCTAGCTAAAAAATGAAATGGTTAAAAGCTGAAAGTAGCAAAAGCCTTGCTAAAATCTAATGTTGCAAATAGCTTACTAACAATAGCTAAACGTTGGCTAAAAGCAACAAGAGGTTTGCTAAGAGTAGCAAAACGCTTGCTAAAATTTAAAAAGAACCAAAGGATGGCTGGTGCTAAAAGTAGGAAAATATTTGCTCAAAGCTAAAAGTAAAAAATGGTACCTAAAATTAGCAGAATCTGGCTTAAAGCTTAAAAACTAATGAGAGCTGGAGGCTAAAAGTAGCAGAATCTAACTTAAAGCTTAAAAACAAAATGTAGCTAGAAGCTAATAGTAGCAGAATCTAGCTTAAAGCTTAAAAACAAAATGTAGCTAGAAGCTAATAGTAGCAGAATCTAGCTTAAAGCTTAAAAACAAATAGTAGCTGGAAGCTAAAAGTAGCAGAATCTAACTTAAAGCTTAAAAACAAAAGGTAGCTAGAAGCTAAAAGCAGCAGAATCTATCTTAAAACTTAAAAACAAAAGATAGCTAGAAACTAATAGTAGCAGAATCTAGCTTAAAGCTTAAAAACAGAAGGTAGCTACAAGCTAACAGTAGAAGAATCTAGCTTAAAGCTTAAAAAAGTGGTAGCTAGAAGTTAAACGTAGCAGAATCTAGCCCAAAGCTTAAAAACAAAAGGTAGCTAGAAGCTAACAGTAGAAGAATCTAGCTTAAAGCTTAAAAAGAAATGGTAGCTAGAAGCTAAAAGTAGAAGAATCTAGCTTAAAGCTTAAAAAATGGTAGCTAGAAGCTAAAAGTAGCAGAATCTAGCCTAAAGCTTAAAAACAAAATGTAGCTAGAAGCTAATAGTAGCAGAATCTAGCTTAAAGCTTAAAAACAAAATGGTAGCTAGAAGCTAAAAGTAGAAGAAACTAGCTTAAAGCTTAAAAACAAATTGTAGCTAGAAGCTAAAAGTAGCAGAATCTAGCTTAAAGCTTAAAAACAAAAGGTAATTAGAATGTAAAAGTAGCATAAGAAGACAAAACTATCACCAGACATCTGCACAGAAATGAGCCGAACCTTTCGGTCAAACACAAACAGGAAACAACAGACTGGAGGAGTTTTCGACTCGCAGCCGAAGCACAGAAACGTTCGGCTCTTTGCTTGTTTACCTGCACACACGTTAGCGTGGACACCCTCAGCTGTCAGCACCTGTCATGCAGACGTTTCGGCTGCAGCGTCACCGTGGAGGGCAGACGATGATGTAATGACGTCACAGATAATAATCAAATGATTGCTTCGGCCACTCGTCTGTGTTCATACTGGAAATGTAATCCGGACTTTAAACAGGAGGTCTGGAAGCTCACCTCCTCCCCTCCTCACCTCCTCCCCTCTTCTCCCCCGCAGGCCTGATTTTCTCCTGTGGTGTCTGTGTGGAGCGTGCCACACACCCACTCCACAACAACGACGGCTTTTGCCTGCATCTTCCAGTGTTTCTTCTGTCAGCAAGTCCAGCAGAGCTGCAACTCTTCCAGTGCCAGCCCTGACGCCAGCGAGGAGCCCTGCCCCCCTGACATGGTGAAGATGACCAAGTCCAAGACCTTCCAGGCCTACCTGCCGTCCTGCCACCGCACCTACAGCTGCATCCACTGCCGGGCGCACCTGGCCAACCACGACGAGCTCATCTCCAAGGTGGGTTAGCCCGGTCTCCGTTTGGGACCCCTCAGCAGGCTTCAGCTGCTTCTGCTGAGATTTGTGCTGAGTCAGCATTCTGCTGCTTTCCGTTTGTTCTGAAGGTTTCCTGCAGATTTTAAAGGATTGTGACGTGAGTCAAAATGTTCGGCTCTTTCCAGATGCGGCTGCTTGAACTCTGGGTTTTTGTAACTTTTATACTTTTCAAAATATTGACTTTTATTTTGAAATATTTCTCCCCCAATTCATATAAAAACACTGTGCCCCTTAAAATCAGCTGTATTTTTGTCTTTAGCATCAGTTTTAGATTTTAGCTACCAAAATACCACCTTTAGCTACTGATTGCCTTTGTTAAGCTTTTGTTCTTTTGTTGCTTTTACCTGTCGTCATTTTAGCTTTTAGGTGCAGTTTGGCTGATTTTAGCTTTAGCACTTGATTTGCTACTTTCTCTTATATTAGCACTTGTGCTACTTTTAGCTTCTGTTTTGATGATACTGTCTTTAGCTACTGTTTAGCTAATTTTAGCATCTAGTTTGCTAAATGTGTCCACTGTCCTGCTAGTTTTAGATTTTAGCTAACTTTCTGCTAATTTAGGCTTTTAATGTTTTGCTGGATTTAGCTTTTAGCTAATGTTTTATAGTTTTGCTCATTTTAGCTTATAGCTACAGTTGTACTGAATGTAGCTGTTGGCTACTGTTTTTAGTCACCACTTTGTTACTTTTAGCTAATGATTTCTGACTTTAAGCTTTTTTTCTGTCTCACTTTTAACTGTCATTTATTTTAGCCTTTACATAAAGTTTAGCTAATGATAGATTTGTTACTTTTAGCTTGTTTTGATCATATGCTATTTAGCTACTGTTTTGCTAATTTTAGCATCTATTATGCTGAATTGATCTGCTGTCCTGCTATTTTTAGCTTTTGGTTATGGTTTTGCTTATTGTACCTCCTAGCTAAAGTTGTACTGAGTTGAACTTTTAGCTACTGTTTAGCAAATTTTAGCTTTAGCATTTGTTTTGTTATTTTTAGCTAATGTGTTGCATCATCAATATCTATATTAAACGAATGTAGCCACCGCCTGGTAGATGTAGCTTTTGGCTACAGTGATCATTTCAGCTTTAGCTATTGTTTTGATTATTTTAGCTTCTGTTTTGCTTGTTTTGACATTAATAATTCATATAAATGTAACATTTTAAACAAGTTTTTTAAAGTTGACGAGCTCTCAGCGTCTCTTTAGCTCTACATGGATCTTCAGCTGTTTGCTGCCTCCTCTGCGTTCTGCGAGCCGACAACATGCTGTATAATAATAAACACATCGGCTGTGAGTGTCGGCTGTTTTCTCTGGGCTGTAAATAAAAATAGAACATGTGACGCAGCAGAATTAACAGATGTAGGTTACTGTGACATCATGGCTACGTTTGTTTTTATCAGCTTCAGATGTTCTGAGATGAATTAGCCTGAAGCTAACTCTGCAGCTGCTCTGTAAAATAACCAATAAAAGCTCAAAAGACTTTAAACTTTGACTGATTTTAAATATAAATGAATATAAAAAACCTTTAGAAATAAAATTACAGAATAAGTTTTTTTTTTTTACAATTAAACTGAAGAATTCACTACTAAAAACGGTTAGATAGCATCAAAGCTAACTGGCTAACTTGTTAGCTAAATGGCTAAGCGATGAAGAGCTAATATGTTAGCCTGTGACCATGCTGGTTGTTAGCTTAGTGTTTTACCAACAGTTCATTAAATAAACTTTAACCTTTACCTTTTATCAAATTTTGTCAAATGGAAAACGAGTCAACACTAATTCAAGATGGCTGCCGCGGCTAATTGATCTTAGCAAACGGCTATAATTTAGCCAGATTTATAGATATTGGGCTAAAATTCGGTGTGGTAGTAGCTGAGAGTCTTTGTTAAAACGTTCACTGAGGTTCAGTGTGAGATGCTATGTTGTGTCTCCTGGAACTCTGGCTTCTACAGGAAGTTTTATTTTTTAGTTAATTACAGTTTTTCATTATTCAAACAGAACGCTGACTCAGTTTCAGGCTCCTCTGGGATAAAAATGACCATCAAGATTTGCTGAGTCACCTTCTGGATGACGCTCGGTCATGATGGCATCTGAGAGAGTTCTGAATCATTCATGTGTCCTCACCCAGTTCTCCCAAACTGGTTTAATTATTCGGATCATTTCAGGATCCCTGTTGACAAATCAGTTTATTTAACAAAAATTCTCTACAGTTGATTTAATTAATTATTAAAAATATCCACAACAGCTGAGTCACTCCAACAGATCATTAATGTTTCTGTTGAAAACTTCAGCATCAAGAATTTATGGATTTAAAAATATAGAACTGCTAAAGAGGAAAATGATAACATGAGCTGAAAAAACATTTGAGCTAAAAATAAAAAATATAAATATTTAAAACAGAAGAAAAAAAACATTCAGCAAAAATACAGAAGTAACACTGAATCAGCTGAAATGAGCTGAAGAAGCTAAAGCTAAGTAAATCAAGCAAAATAGTAGCTGAAAGCCTAAATCCAACAGAACATTAGCTAAAAGCTAAATCCAACAGAACATTAGCTAAAAGCTAAATCCAACAGAACATTAGCTAAAAGCTAAATCCAATAGAACATTAGCTAAAAGCTAAATCCAACAGAACATTAGCTAAAAACTAAATCCAACAGAACATTAGCTAAAAGCTAAATCCAACAGAACATTAGCTAAAAGCTAAATCCAACAAGACATTAGCTGAAAGCCTAAACAAACAGAATTTTAGCAAAAGCCTAAAGCAGCAGAATATTAGCTAAAGGTCTAAATCAGCTGAATATTAGCTAAAGGTCTAAATCAGCTGAATATTAGCTAAAAGCCTAAAGCAGCAGAATATTAGCTAAAGGCCTAAATCAGCTGAATATTAGCTAAAGGTCTAAATCAGCTGAATATTAGCTAAAGGCCTAAATCAGCAGAATATTAGCTAAAAGCCTAAATGAGCAGAATATTAGCTAAAAGCCTAAAGCAGCAGAATATTAGCTAAAGGTCTAAATCAGCTGAATATTAGCTAAAAGCCTAAAGCAGCAGAATATTAGCTAAAGGTCTAAATCAGTTGAATATTAGCTAAAAGCCTAAAGCAGCAGAATATTAGCTAAAGGCCTAAATCAGCAGAATATTAGCTAAAGGCCTAAATCAGCTGAATATTAGCTAAAGGCCTAAATCAGCAGCGTTTTAGCTAAAGGCCTAAATGAGCAGAATATTAGCTAAAAGCTTAATCCAGCAAGACATTTGCTGAAAGCCTAAATCCAGCATAACATAAACTAAAAGCTAAATGTAGCAAAACATTTGCTAAAAGCCTAAACAAACAGAACTTTAGCTAAAAGCTAAATCAGAGAGAGAGGGGATCCAAACAACGACCCCTCAGCTGATGAGGAGTCGGGCCTGAATCTGCAGTTTCCTGCACTGAACCAATCAGCTTTCTTTTTCTCTGACCGTCAGCCAATCAGGTTAGAGTTTACAGCAAGAATGCTGAATCAGCTGAAATGTGCTGAAGAAACTAAATCTGACAGAGCATGAGCTTCAATAAAAACATTAGCTAGAAGCTAAATCCAGCAAAACATTAAATGCTGAATCTAGCAGAACATTAAGTAAAGCTAAATCTAGGAAAACATAAGCTGAAAGCTAAATACAGCAGAACATTATCTGAAACTTAAATCCAGGAAAATATAAGCTAAAAGCTAAATTTAGCTAACTACTGCTATTTAAATTTTCATTTCATCAAGTGTTTTTAGGACTAAATGAGATCTTTGTTCATTTAAACAAGAAAACTCTAAAACAGGTTAAATAATTTAAAAGTTTCAAAAACCCAAAGCCACAGCAGAAGCTTCATGAACAGCTGAAGGTTTGGATGTTTGAACCGTTAGCTGAATTTGATCAAGAAAACATGCTAAAGAATGCCGAGTCATCGTTCAGACTGTTCTGAAAGTTCGGAGTTAGAAATAAAGAGTTTTACTAAAACTTAGAGTAAAAAACGGTTTATTAGAGTTCAGCTTCAGGTGTCGGCTGTTTTCAAGTGTCTTCGGCTGTTTTCAGGTGTCGGCAGGTGAATCGAGTTTTTCAGGAGCGTTAGGATTCCAGCTGAGTTCTGTCTGAATGGTTTTAGAAGAATCGCTGCCAGCCGGGAGGTTTTTTGTTCTTCATATTTTGTTTTAGCGACTTTAGATTTGGAGCCGTTTTCAGCTGGGCTGGCTCAAAGTAGCTAAAGACGAAACAGAAACATTAGCTGAAGAAAATGTAAAAAGAAATTTTTTGAAGATTTGAAGAGATCTGAATGTGTTTATATGAGTGAGATGTTTCATTTTCAAAATAAAAGAACTTCAAACAAAAATCACAATAGCTGTCTCCTGAATGAGCCGAAGAAGCTGAAACAGCTAAAACAGCTAAAGTAGTGAGGTGTTTTGAGTTCAGAGCTCCCGAGGCCTCGCTGAGACCAGAGGAATGCTGGGAGACCAGTAGGTCCAGTTGAGCTTCAGACTGGTCCTGGATCTGGATGACAGGGACTTCCTGGAGATCAGGTAGAAAACAGCTAATTAAGATTCGGCTGCAGGGATTTGAAAGTCTGATTCTTTTATACAATAGACAAGCTAAAAACCTGCAGGGACACATTTTATTAAATCGAGAAACCGAAGGATCGTAAACAGATCGGACCAAAATGATAGCAGCTAAATATTTTGTAGTGTTTCGTGTGGTTTTTAGATAATGAGCTAAAGTTCGGCGTGGTGGAAACGCGGCGGGTGACGTGCATTCCTTGGAAGCTCGTCGCTGATTGTTCAGATCCGTTAACGAGCTCTCTTCTATCAGCCGAAGCACGGTCGGTGACCGTGCTTCGGCTGATAGAAGAGAGCTCGTTAACAGCCGAAGCACAGCGACATATGTCAGACTGGCGGTCCAAGGCTCCGCCCCCTCAGCATCAAACTCTCCTAAGCTGATTATGTTACTTAGAAGAAGACGACAC